ACTTTAGCTCACAAGCCCCCTTGCACAAATGACATGCTGAGGTTTTCTTTGCTAGAGAAATAACTTGTGTTTAGCTGATTATTTTCTCTAGAATGACTCTCAATACACATATGCCTAAAGACAAAACTTCCTCAATTGTGTCTTGGGTTGTGCTAGGTACCTTTTGGCTGACCTTAATGCTAACCTTGACTCGGGCTGAATTGTGTCAGCTTCTTGTGTTACTGCCCATGGGCATGGAGTTCACCACCTATGGCTCATAGTGGCTGGAAGCACTCAGGTGAGCTGTGAACTGCTTTCCTGGTGACCAACTCCTCTGGGCAGGTGACCAGTGAACTATTCCTGGTTCATCCATTCTAGACCTATAAATAGCTGATCCATCTATAACAGATCTAGAACTAAACTCAACAAACATCTGGAGGGCGTCCTCTGAGTGGGTTGTCAGCTAATCAGCAGCCAGTGTGAAGGTACTATGTTTGCCTTTTGGACAGAGACAGCAGCATTGCAGGACCTCAGCTCTCCTAGGAGAAACTAAAAGGTGTACAAGACAATTTCAGAGGGAGTTGTGGAGTTAGGTACTCACCAAACCAGTGACCAATGCTTGGAGAAAATGAAGGGTCCAAAAAGGGGGCTAACAAAGGCCAAAGGCTATAATCACTACTTAAGTGTCCATCTCCTCACAGAATGGGTTGTATTATGAAAGACTGTCCCATCACAAGGCCTCAATAGCTAATAGATGCTGACATAGTGATATTACTGAGGGACAAATTGTTGCATCTGAGAACCATGGGCCCAGGCCAGTGCCTCTAAGACCAGAGTCTCCAATATACTGGGGTCTGAAAAATGTTATTGCCTTTCTGAGTCTCATCTTCAACTGGTTAGTTTGTTGTCAGTAGTGTCTAATGTATTATCTTTTGTGTCCCAATTGCTGGAACTATTGATCCTTCTGTGTTATACATAGGACCTTACCAAATTCACGACCATGAAAAACACGTCACAGACCATGAAATCTGGTCTCCCCCTGTGAAATCAGGTCTTTTGTGTGCTTTTCCCCTATACTATACAGATTTCATGGGAGAGAGCAATATTTCTCTAATTGGGTGTTCTGACCCAAAAGGGAGTTGCAGGGGGGCTCAAAGTTATTTTAGGGGGGTCGCAGTATTGCCACGCTTACTTCTGCTCTGCCTTCAGAGATGGGCAGCCGGAGAGCTGAGGCTGTTGGCCGGGCGCCCAGTTCTGAAGGCAGTGCTCTGCCAGCAGCAGCGCAGAAGTAAGGGTAGCGTTACCCTAAGATAGGGCCCTAGTTGTATATTTTAGTGGTACTATAGATTCATAGATTCTAGGACTGGAAGGGACCTCGAGAGGTCATCGAGTCCAGTCCCCTGCCCTCATGACAGGACCAAATACTGTCTAGACCATCCCTGATAGACATTTATCTAACCTACTCTTAAATATCTCCAGAGATGGAGATTCCACAACCTCCCTAGGCAATTTATTCCAGGGTTTAACCACCCTGACAGTTATGAACTTTATCCTAATGTCCAACCTAAACCTCCCTTGCTGCAGTTTAAGCCCATTGCTTCTCGTTCTATCCTTAGAGGCTAAGGTGATCAAGTTTTCTCCCTCCTCCTTATGACACCCTTTTAGATACCTGAAAACTGCTATCATGTCCCCTCTGTCTTCTCTTTTCCAAACTAAACAAACCCAATTCTTTCAGCCTTCCTTCATAGGTCATGTTCTCAAGACCTTTAATCATTCTTGTTGCTCTTCTCTGGACCCTCTCCAATTTCTCCACATCTTTCTTGAAATGCGGTGCCCAGAACTGGACACAATACTCCAGTTGAGGCCTAATGGATGAGGCCTAGAATGGATGTGACAACTTAGTAAGAAACTAAGAAACTAAGATTCAAATTCTGTTCCTAGCATGGACTATTTAGAAAAGCTGGATGAACACAAGTCCCATGGGGCTGGAGGCGCTGCATCCGAGGGTGCTAAAGGAATTAGCGGATGTGATTGCAGAGCCATTGATCATTATCTTTGAACACTCATGGCGATCAAGGGAGGTCCCGGATGACTGGAAAAAGGCTAATGTAGTGCCCATCTTTAAAAAAGGGAAGGAGGAGGATCCGGGGAACTACAGGCCAGTCAACCTCACCTCAGTCCCTGGAAAAATCATGGAGCAGGTCCTCAAGGAATCAATTCTGATGCACTTAGAGGAGAGGAAAGTGATCAGGAACAGTCAGCATGGATTCACCAAAGGCAAATCATGCCTGACTAACCTAATTGCCTTCTATGATGAGATAACTGGCTCTGTGGATGAGGGGAAAGTAGTGGACATGTTATTCCTTGACTTTTGATATGGTCTCCCACGGTATTCTTGCCAGCAAGTTAAAGAAGTATGGGCTGGATGAATGGACTATAAGGTGGATAGAAAGCTGGCTAGATCATCGGGCTCAACGGGTAGTGATCAATGGCTCCACATCTAGTTGGCAGCCGGTATCAAGCGGAGTGCCCCAAGGGTCAGTCCGGGGGCCGGTTTTGTTTAATACCTTCATTAATGATCTGGAGGATGGTGTGGACTGCACCCTCAGCAAGTTTGCAGATGACACTAAACTGGGAGGAGTGGTAGATACGCTGGAGGGTAGGGATAGGCTACAGAGGGACCTAGACAAATCAGAGGATTGGGCCAAAAGAAATCTGATTAGGTTCAACAAGGACAAGTGAAGAGTCCTGCACTTAGTACGGAAGAATCCCATGCACTGCTATAGACGAGGGACCGAGTGTCTAGGCAGCAGTTCTGCAGAAAAGGACCTAGGGGTTACAGTGGATGAGAAGCTGGATGTGTGTCAACAGTGTGCCCTTGTTGCCAAGAAGGCTAACAGCATTTTGTGCTGTATAAGTAGGGGCATTGCCAGCAGATCGAGGGACATGATCATTCCCCTCTATTCAGCATTGGTGAGGCCTTATCTGGAATACTGTGTCCAATTTTGGGCCCCAAACTACAAGGAGGATGTGGGAAAATTTTGGAAAGAGTCCAGTGGAGGGCAACAAAAATGACTAGGGGGCTGGGGCACATGATTTACGAGGAGAGGCTGAGGGTACTGGGATTGTTTAGTCTGCAGAAGAGAAGAATGAGGGGGGATTTGACAGCTGCTTTCAACTACCTGAAAGGGGGTTCCAAAGAGGATGGATCTAGACTGTTCTCAGTGGTACCAGATGACAGAACAAGGAGTAATGGTCTCAAGTTGCAGTGGGGGAGGTTTAGGTTGGATATTAGGAAAAACTTTTTCACTAGGAGGGTGGTGAAGCACTGGAATGGGTTACCTAGGGAGGTGGTGGACTCTCCTTCCTTAGAGGTTTTTAAGGTCAGGCTTGACGAAGCCCTGGTTGGGATGATTTTGTTAGGGATTGGTCCTGCTTTGAGCAGGGGGTTGGACTAGATGACCTCCTGAGGTCCCTTCCAACCCTGATATTCTATGATTCTATAATAATGTCTATTATGGAGTAGTACTCTGATTACCTCCAACATCTGCAACCTGTTCATCTGACTTCTTGTATCTTAGTATGTATTGGTGCACGGGATGATGCAAGGTCAGTGCCTGATCCTGATCTTATTGAAGTCACTCTAAATCCATTCAGAAACTGAAACTGGTGAAGAATGCAGGATCCTGCTTTATTAAATAGAATGTATAGTTGTGAGCACAACTCAAAATGGCTCCATAACGTGCACCAGTTTTTTTTATATATTCTAAGTTCCATAGTCATGGGAATTAATTTGTTTGATCCTGTAAACACTTACTATTTAAATCCCTCCTCCAGCCTCACTTCTTCCCCTATGCCCTGACTATTTGAATCCATCAGTACTATTCACTATCTGAATAAGGAGGGTGGTATTTGGCATATGCAGTGTGCATCTCTGACCAAATATGTAAACTCTAGTCAGGGATGGGAAATGTTTTGTGTTGTACCACTTGATCATTTTGAGATGGTAAATATAATAACAGTATTAATATACTCTACCCTAAAATGACTTGTTTTCTCTGCTGCAGCATGTACCTCAGTTTGTAATAAATTTTCAATACCATACACGTGGTCGGCAATGCAGTTCTTTAGTTGCTCTGCAGTGCAGTGTCTGGCTTACATGCACCCAGCATGGGACGATGGGCTTCTTATGCAGCATGACTGTAATAAACATTTCATGGCAAAAATGAGAAGTTACAGCTCAGCATAAAATTAAAAACCACAAGCAGGGTTGCAATATTAAGATTAAAACAATTAAAATATAATCGGAACCAGGAAAGTACCAGCAGAGGTGAATGTACAAAGGCTTCTATGATTATTTAAACGTTTATCAACCTCTTTGGAAACAAGATTTTTATTATTTCCTCATTAAGCCATTTTGTCATGTGCAATTATTTATTACGGGTAGGATACTAACACTATACAGCATCTGTATTGGTAGAACAACCCAGCAATCAGTGCTATTCCCAACCCTTCGGGGAGTAGATGGGTCTGGATTACTTTAAGGGTCACCCATCTCCTTTCCTCACCACTTTCAGCAGCGGTGGCTGGGGCTCCCCCGTGCCAAGGTGCGCTCTCTCTCCCCGACAAGCGCGGCTGGTGGGAACAGGGCCCGGCCCAGCTCCTGTACCAAGCCGGTGTCTGGGCGCTGCTAGGGTTCACATTCAGCGCGCCCCCAGCCCGGCTGCAACCCCCCTGGGCTGCCCAACACTCCCACCCGTGGGCCCAGCCGTGTCCGGTTTTGCACGTGGCCACATTTCCAGCAGCTTAAGCAACGCGCCTCCCGGAACCCAACTGGTCCCTGCACTGCTGAGGCCGGCCCGGGCTCACCTGCGAGGAGGAGACTCTGCCGGCACCGGGGGTGGGGCTGCCCCGCTCCCTGCTGGCCGCTTGCGAGCGACCAATCCCGCCGCGGCGCCCCCTGACCCTACCGGGGCCAGCCCCGCCGCCGGGCCAATGAGCTCCCCGCGCCGGGGCGGGGCTGCGGCTCGGCTGGGCCGCAGACTGATGCAATCCCGCCGCCGGAGCGCTGGGGAGCCGCTTGCTGCATAACCCGCTGCCGGGCCGGGCGCACGAGGCGTCTCCGCTGCCGCCATGTCGGCGCTGCTCATACAGGAGACGGGCGAGCTGGCCCTGGGTGAGTCCCTGCGGGGCGGCGGCTGAGGGGGCGGGCGCGGGCCCTGTGAAGGAGCAGGTGCCTTTCGGGCCCCACATCGCCCCCGGAGCGGGGCAGCGCGGGGAGACCCCGGCCTGGGGTGGCTCTGAGGCCTGGCCGAGCAGCCCCGCTCCGGGAAGGACACGTTGCTCTAGAGGTCGGTGTTACTCGCAGTCGCTCTCCGATCCCTCGCGTGGGGAGGTGCGTGGCCTGCAAAAGGGCAGGTCCCCTCGCGGGTCAGTAAGGGGTTAAAACACAGGAAACAAAAAGTAGGAGTAAATGGTCAGTTTCCATCGTGGAGAGAGGTAAGTAGCGAGGTGCCCCCGGCCAGGGACCCGTGCGACCTATTCAACATATCCCTTAAATAACGAAAAACTGGTGAGATGGCAAAGTTTGTAGATGCTATAAAATTATTCAGGATCGTTAAGTCCAAAGTCAATGGGTTTAAACCAAGGAAGAGTTTCTTCACTTAATGCACAGTCGACATGAGGAACTCATTGTCAGGGAATGTTGTGAAGGCCAAAAGTATAAATCAGTTTTAAAAAAAAAAAAAAAGGAGGATGGGTACATCAGTGGCTATTAGCTAAGATGGTTATGGATGTAACCCCGTACTGTGGGTGTCCCTAAACCTCTGACTGCTAGAAGCTGGGCTTGGATGACAGGGGATGGATCACTCAAAACTCTTGATTCCCTCTGTAGCATCTGGCACTGCTAACTGTTAGAAGACAGGATAATGGGTTAGACGGACCATTGGACTGACCTACTGTGGCAGTCCTTATGAAGTGGCTGAAAGGTCCCATCATAGCCTGCTGCTGGGCGAGAGGCACTACTACTGGAGGCTTGTGTATGCTAAAGAGGTGGGCGCTGACCAGTGCTGGGTTGAGAGAGCTGCACCCATTTCCTAGTGTATCTGGCCACTATCTCCATCAGCGTTCTGATGCAGGAAAGAAGCGGTGCTAGCCACCATCAGAAAGGCAGTATGTGATGTGTAGGGATTAAATCCATTGCAATAGGCAGCATAGACAACCTTTTTCCTTGGATGCCATGAGGCAGTTCAGTGCTGTTTTTTTTTAATCTGATCAGTTACTACCCCATGGAAGTACAGTATGAGTCACTGTTGTATCATTGCAACTAAAAAGTTTGTCCTCCAAATATGCTCAGTTAATTTTTTACAAAATTTTTAGACACACTGTATCCCAAATGCTTTATTGTAATAAAAACTAAACATTCATCCCTTTTAAAACAAACAAAAAGGGGACTTGGATTTGAGTGACGTGCTGGTTATCTTATACTAAAACATCCCTGGAATTTCTCAGTGTTATAGATGACAATTTCCTAACTCAAAGCCAACTCGGGGGGATTCTATATTAGATCTTGTTCCAATAGATAAAGAGGAACTGATCACAGAACTAAAAGTTAATGGTAGCTTAGGTACAAGTGATCATGACTTGATCACATTTATAATGTGCAAGCAGAATAAAGTCCAGACCAGTAATATATATAATATACTTGGTGCTTTCATAGGGCCAATTTCACAAAGCTGAAAGCACTTATGAGCTAAATCAGCTGGGAGGAATAATTTAATTGAAAAATGTGAATGATAATTGGGAATCATTTCAGAACACCTTTGTAGATGCCTTAAAAAGCCACAATTCCACAGCTGAGGAAGAAGGCTGTGTTGATTTAAAAAACAACCTGGTTTAAAGTACAAGAGAAGGCAGCTGTAAAATAAATAAGATAAATAAAGTGGAATAAAGGGGAAGTTAATAGTAATGACTATAAATCAGCAGTTAGGAATTGTAGAAAATTGATAAGGGAAGCCAAGGGACACAAGGAGAAATTTATGGCAAGGAGGAGTGTTTTAAAATATATTATGAACAAAAAGAATCCTGACAACAGTATTGGTCCATTGCTAGCCGGAATTATCAATAATAACACCGAAAAGACAGAAGTGTTAAATAAATATTTGTTTTTTGTTTGGACATAAGAACGGCCATACTGGGTCAGACCAAAGGCGATCTAGCCCAGTATCCTGTCTTCCAACAGTGGCCAGTGCCAGATGCTTCAGAGGGAATGAACAGAACAGGTAATCATCAAATGATCCATCCTCTGTCGCCCCTTCCCAGCTTCTGGCAGACAGAGGCTAGGGGCACCGTTTCTGCCCATCCTGGCTAATAGCCATTGACGGACCTATCCTCCATTAATTTATCTAGTTCTTTTTTGAACCCTGTTATAATCTTGGCCTTCAAAACATCCTCTGGCAAAGAGTTCCACGGGTTGACTGTGCATTGTCTGCAGAAATACTTCCTTTTGTTTGTTTGAAACCTGCTGCCTATTAATTTCATTTGGTGACCCCTAGTTCTTGTATTATGAGAAGAAGTAAATAACACTTCCTTATTTACTTTCTCCACACCAGTCATGATTTTATAAACCTCTATCATATCCCCACTTAGTCATCTCTTTTCCGAGCTGAAAAGTCTCAATCATATTAATCTCTCCTTATATGGAAGCTGTCCCATACCCCTAATTATTTTTCTTTCCTTTTCTGAACCTTTTCCAATTCCAATATATCTTTTTCGAGATGGGGCGGCCACATCTGCATGCAGAATTCAAGATGTGGCCATACATGGATTTATATAGAGGCAATATGATATTTTATGTCTTATTATCTATCCCTTTCCTAATGATTTCCAACATTCTGTTTGCTTTTTTGACTGACCCTGCACATTGAGTAGATGTTTTCAAAGAACTATCCACAATGACACCAAGATCCCTTTCTTGAGTGGCAACAGCTAATTTAGACCCCCATCATTTTATATGTATAGTTGGGATTATGTTTTCCAGTGTGCGTTACTTTGCATTTATCAACCTTGAATTTTATCTGCCATTTTGTTGCCCAGTCACCCAGTTTTGTGAGATCCCTTTGTAACTCTTTGCAGTCTGCTTTGGACTTAACTATCTTGAGAAGTTTTGTATCATCTGCAGATTTTGCCATCTCACTGTTTATCCTCCTTGTACAAAAGAGTGCTTCACTTAGGAAGGAGAAATCAGATACAAAGCTCTAAAATGGGGGGAATAACTGGCTAGGTGATATACTGCTGAAAAGGATCTGGGGTTTATAGTGCATCACAAATCTGAGCCAAAAATGTGATGCAGTTGCGAAAAAGACTAATATCATTCTGGGGTTTTGTATGTAAGATATGGGAGGTAATTGTTCTGCTCTACTCCTCACTGGTGAGGCATTGGCTGGAGTACTGTGTCTAGTTCTAGGTGCCATACTTCATGTAAAATGTGGACAAATTGGAGAGAGTCCAGAGGAGTGCAACAAAATTGATAAAAAGTTTAGAAAACATGACATATGAGGAAAGGTTAAAAAAACTGGGTATGTTTAGTCTTGAGAAAAGAAGACTCAGAGGGGACCTGATAAGTCTGAAGGTAGGACAAGAAGTAATATGCTTAAACTGCAGCAAGGCCATTTAGGTAAAATGTTAGAAAAAGCTTTCTAATCATAAAGGTAATTAAGCTTTGGAATAGGCTTCCAAGGGAGGAACAGGCTGGACAAACATCTGTCAGGGATGGTCTAGGTTGACTTGGTCCTGCCTGAGCGTGGGGTGCTTGACTTACTGACCCCTCAAGGTTCCTTCAAGCCCTACATTTCTGTGTGTGTGTCTCTCTCTCTCTCTATATGTATATCTGTCTCTAGGTATAGACACAGATGTATACACACGCGCTTGAATTTAGGAAGCTAAGAATTGCTGTTGCAGGTCAGATCAGTGATCCATTGAGGTTGGTACTCTCTCTCTCTGGCATTAGCCAGCACTGGATGTTTCAGAGGAAGGTGTGAAAGCCCTATAATGGACAGTTCTGCAATTACATGCCTAGGGGAGTGACGGGGAGATGTCTGACTCCATGTAGTATCTGGCTTATCTCAATATCCCTTGTACATTATCCTAGATAGCGTAACTGGATATTCTTAACATTGGTATTAATATGCCCTTTTTTATTCTTCCTAGTCTGTGTGCTAAAGTAATAGTATGTGATAAGTAGGTCCACATCTTAACTATGAAATATAGCTACTAAAAAACCCCAACAAAATACCTTTTCTTGTTCCTTACTTCAATTGTGTTGTTTGTTAATTTCCCCGTGTGTAATTTCCCCAACTGTTATTGTTATAAGTGTCTGGCATACTTTCTCTGTGTGGCTCCTGGTTTTATATACCCTTATCTCACCTCTCTGTCTTCTCCCTAAACTAAACAGTCCTAATCTTTTTTTAGTCTCTTGTTGTATGGAAGCTTTTCCATGCTTCCAATATTTTTCATTGCCCTTTTGTCTGGAGTGAACAGAATTGATGATGGTCTTCGAGGTGAGGGTGTGCCATCAATTTATAGAATGTCATAGTGTTGCTCCCTATTCCTTTTTGAATACAACACATGCACAGTGTTTGGTTAATTGACCACCGCTGCATGTTGGGCAAGTACTTTTATTGAACCATCCTCTGTGATGACCAGGTATCTCTCTTGAGTGAGTTAATTTGGACCCCATCAGCGTGTAGGAATATCTAAAACTTCCTTCCAACATGCTTCACCTTGTGCTTGTCTGCACTGAATTTCATCTGTCATGTTACCTAATTGCCGGCTTTTGTATTGGACCAGAATAGTGAAAATGGATCAGTCCTTTCTTGTATTCCAGGCAACAAGAAAAAGGGGCCACCTGATACAATTAGTAAGTGGTAAAATTGGAACAAATAAAGGAGATACTCCACATAATAAGCCAGAGGAATTTTGTGGTGCAGGTAACCACCAAATCAAGAGATTATAGCAAGATATTTTTAAGGGCTGATAATGGTTGTTCATTGCTTTTGCAGTTATAAAGGTAGTCAGCAGTTATGTATCAGTGCATGTTTCTTGGTTCCTTTCCTTCCTCTTCTTTTCACCCCAAAAGCACTCCTCTTCCACCAATAATTGTACAATTAGCTATGTGCATTATGGGTTTGTTTTTGTTGCTTTCCTCTGAAGTATGCAGTCCTGGATATCAGATTCAATGAGCTTCAATGTGGCAAATCCTATATAACTGAGTTATTGTGCATGTCTTGCTAGTTAGAGAGAAGAGACATGGATGTGTAGAATAAAAGGGGCAACACCAGGGAGGATGGTACGGGAGAAAAAACACAGTAAAAGAGGAAGCGGCACAACAGACATTGAGAACAGCTAATGAGGTGAGAATGTATCCTATAGGAATCAGAACAAAAAGAAAAGTGCATAAAGCTAAAAAAGCATTATGCTCTCAGATAACCTACATTTCAAAAAGTTATATTAAACCAAATATCCCTATTTTCCTGTTGTGGGAAAAATGTGCACTGAGAAGTTAGACCAAAATTTTGCAAAAATTGGGAGTTGCAACATACACACCCATCACCTTGAAAAGCACAAAAAACTAGTGTGCAGTCACGATTGGTTGGTATCAAAGAAGGTACACTATCACTTTGGGGAGAAGAGGAACAGACTTTTAGAATGAACTCTTAGGGGTGGTATTCTTAAACGTGCCAAAGGAAGTGGATGCCCAGCTCCTGTTGATAATCCATAGGCGCTTATCTCCCTTAGGCACTTTTTACAATTATACACAAGATCTCTAGTAGTTATTTGCCATCTTGTGTTAAGTTAGTTGTAGTCTTAACTACAACTAACAGTGGTAGTTACTGTGCAAAGACACCACTATTGAGTTAATAAGAACATAGGAATTGCCATATTGGATAAGATCTAAGATCTGTCTGGCCTAGTATCCTGTCTCTGACAGTGGTCTGCACCAGAAGCTTCAGAGGAAGGTGTAAGAAACCTCCATAGGTGGATGTGGGATACTAGTCTATGTCTACACTGCAGAGTAAGCCTGGGGTTTGAACTCCAGCTCAAGCTTTAACCCCCACTTCCGTCTACACACAAATTGCACTAACCCTTAGCTTGGTCCCAGGACCCCACAGGTGTTGAGTTGATTCAAGCCCTATTGCTTTGCAGTGTAGATGCAGTTCCAAAAGTATTCTACGGGCTGACTTTCTTTGTCCTCTGTCAGTGGTTTGGTGGACAGTCAAGTTTTCCCACACTGCATCACAAACAAAGAGCCATTGCTGCCACATTTTGGGAGCGTGCTAGGAAGTCTGAGGATGTGGGTAGTTGGACTCAGGCCTGCCTAATGCAGTGAAGACTCCAGAGCCCCAGGTAGGAACCAGGGTTCTCCAGTTCCTAACCTGGGGTCACAAATGAGTGTTGACACTCAAGCTCTAGGTTAACAAACCCAGGGTCTGGGAACTTGAGTTCTGCTAACCCTGGGCTTACATTGCAGTGTAGACATGCCCTGACAGTTAGAGATTCTCTTGAGACCTGAAGCATGAGGCTTAATGTCTCTTCAAAAACATGTCTTCATTAATTATGATGATGCTGAATATTCTTGATAGCCATATACATATCCAATTCCTCTTAAAATCTTGCCAAGTTTTGTGCTTGCTTTAAAATACCTGTATATGCTTGTTCTATATTACAGGAGAGATGTATGTTTCTGAACGCGAGGGCTGTGATTCTACTGGCGATGGAACAGAGAAGAAGCCTTTCAAAACAGCTCTGAAGGTATCTGCAGAAAACACACGAAGTCTATTTCAAGTCATATTGTTTCCCTTCAGGACAAACAGCCAATTATTTACGGAAATACTTAAACTAGTGGTGGGCCAGATTTGATCTGAAAATAGCTTTTTAAGCTGCTGTTCTCTTTAAATGTAAATCTTATATATCTTAACATCGGGTCCTCATTGATGTGTTTTGTAAATTTAGGATGTCCACCATATTATCTCATTGACAGTCTCACTTCAGTACTCTTATGATGAAACTGACTTTTGCACTTTTTTTTCCCTTTAAGGCTTTGATGACAGCAGGAAAAGAACCATTTCCTACTATTTATGTGGACTCGCAAAAAGAAAATGAGGTGATGTAATTTAAATGGATATTTTTAATTAAATGAGGTATTAAGGTTCCTATTTTTCAAGACACAAATAACTTCTTTCTCTTCCCCCCATATCTCACCGGATCCATCTAGAGATGGGATGTTATTTCTAAGACACAAATGAAGAATGTAAAAAAAACATGGCACAGAGAACAAATGAAGCATGAAGCTAGGGAGAAGAAAGAGGTGGGTTATGAATACTGCCAAGTCAGCTTATTTAGAAATTAAAAATAGAAAAAATCCATTTTAGCTCCCCTGAAAATGGCATATGCTAATCCTGAGTGTGCTGTTATAGTGGTGGATGAAGGCCGTAGCAGGCAAAGTGATCTGTAGTGCACTAGTCAGCATTACAACCTTTAAGCCCACTGCTTGTGTGCCCAGATAGTTTAATTTTGCCAGAGAAGGGCTGAGAAAGTTAAATGTACATGGTCCTATTCTATCCTTGGATATATGGTTTGACTGCCGTTGACTTCAGTGTATATGTATGTTAGTTGTTTTCACTTCATCAAGACAAGCAAATGGTCTGCGTCAGGGATGGGATGAGTTTCTACAAATTTTGGATGTGGATGTCTCTAAACTCCTCCAACCTTCTCTAAACCAGGTTAAGAGCACTTCTAGGAAGTGTTTCATGTTCTGGGGATCGCACCCATGTATCTTAGGGCAGATTTTTGACATATTGTAGCAGGGCTGAGATTCTATGTAAACATTCATCTTTAGAGATGTACGTAACGGTTTCGTACTGCTGTCTGTGGGGAGTGATACTGATATAAATAACCTGATTGTAGTTATCGTTAACACCACTACATGACTAATACATAATTTATGGAAAAACTTCTTAAAATTAGGCAGAAGATGGTTTGCGACGAGAGAAGAACCTGGAGGAAGCTAAGAAAATTACCATCAAGAATGATCCCAGTCTTCCAGAGCCTAAATGCGTGAGTGGAATCCAATGCACTGGATAAGAAGCCCCTGTAACAATCCCTTTCTTATATTTATAAACCGCATGATTCTGAGGTGTGCTCTGCATCATCACCAGCTGTTGAAGACTACTATGCTTTTCCTTCCTTGAGATTTTATTCTCTCTGGTGATTAGCATATCCTCATATGTTTCATCTCCCTCATTCACCTCACAGTTCACTGAGCCTGCTTGACTTTAATTTTGGATTCTTCCAATACACATGCACCAGAGGGGAAAAGCCAAGCTGTACTTCTGCTTGAAACAGCCTGATGAGTTTTTGTTGTTGTTTTTTTAATTGCTAAAAAGATCCTTGTTTAAAATCTGCCCTCAACAGAAGGGCTTTTGCCATGGTGGGGGATGGAGGAAATATTGCTGATTTGAAAAACATACATACTGAATTAATATCCAGTATGTGTGGGCCCCAAGTTCTGCTGAATTACATTCGTGCAGCCACACTGAAGTCAGTGAGGTTTGGCAAGTCTAAATCAGAGGAATTGGGAAGCAAAAAATAAACATTCTGCTAGATCACAATCTTGAAGACACTTCTTACAGAAGAATTTTGATTTGAGATTTTCACTCCAACATAAGCAAACGGACAGTGTACTCAGTTGCACCGAAGTCAATCTCTATCTTTCCCTGGCCAATGCACTGTAGTAATTCCAATTTGCAGATGGCTGGGACTTTAAAATCTATTAACCGATAACTAGATAAGTCTGAAGAGCAACACCAGCCTGCCAATTGGAGAGTCAGTCTTACCATGTCAGTGCCTCAACAGTGACTTTGTGATGGGATTCAATCAGTACCAAAATAAAATGCATCAAAAAGTGCCAGTTATCTACAATTCTAATTCATTATCCTCTCTCATATTTTGGCTTCTAACCGAACTCCTATCTTACTGAGTAGTTTTAAAAATTAGTGCAGAAAAGGCTGTTCAGACCTCCAGGTGAAGGAAAGCTGTGTGTTCAAGGTCTCTTGCCCAGAATGGTGTGACAATTTGGTATATATTGAAGTATAAGTAATATCTGAGAGGCATGGTTTTCAAGTGAACTTTTACATGTGCTGACTCTTGTTGTATTCAGATGTAAAACCAAATTCCTGATCACTTGTGGTCATTAAAGTTCCCACATTGCTATCTGACAGAGTAGGACTGTTAAGCAGAATGTAATAACCCAACATGAAATTTGGTTAGGACATCAGAGGTGCTTAAACACAAGCCTTTCTATTTTTAACTTGATAGGATATTCTTCCCTCGGTGCCCTAAACTGTCATGCAGAATTGATGGGTGCTATTCAATCCGTTGTGTTCTACCCCAGATGCATTTCAATGGTTAGAACCTGTTTCTGGTGCATATCCCATATGCCCATGTCCCATGAAGCTGTGGAAATGAAAGGCACTGTCTAAATGTCAGTTTGTTATGATTTATCTCTGTGGTTCATTGATTTTAATCCATGCTTTACAGGTGAAGATTCGTGCTCTAGAGGCACACAGAGGCCAACGAGTGAAGGTTTTTGGCTGGGTCCACAGGTTACGTAGACAAGGTAAACAGTCCTTAATGTAGACAAAGTAAATAGCTAGCCCTTAAAAGTAATTGAGTCAATGCAGAAAGGGGGAACAAGGGGTAGAGTATAACAGGACATATTCTGGCTCACCTTGCTCAGGCTAGGAAAGCTGGGAGGTGCGTGGAAAATGAACAGCTTCTGTAGCACCAGGTAAAGCTGTCCATCCTAATCCTGGATCCACTGATGCTTCATAGATGTCCTCTGCCAGGTATCCTAGAAGGATTGAACTTGGTTTGACCTGGGGATCGGGGTGTGATGCTGGCTGTCCTGCCTTAACAGTGATTCCTATTGCATGGCATGCTGTGCAATCTGTTTCTTCCCAGAAGGAAAAACTTGAACAAGAGGGGATGGATGGGAGGGGCTACATCATTTCCCACATAATAGCTGTAACTTGGGCCAACATACTCAACGTGTATGGCCGGTCCAAAGGGCCTGGCCCTGAGAACATCCAACACTCCTTGTCAAATTATTGGGGGTAAAATCCTGACCCTATTGAGATCAATTGGAGCTTTGCCATTAACTTCAGTGGAGCCAGGATTTTGCCCTGGGGGATTTGGATGCCTAACACCTAGGATTAGGCTCTACATATGACTTCATCTTTCATTATCTTTTGGCATAAAAAACACAGTTGTGTGGAAAGGATTTTATCATCCAACAAATGTTTTAATGTGTAGTTCTGGTATTTATTAGTGATCATGAGCAACCCTTAACAGACAACCCTGAAAACAAACTGCCGTGATAACATTTGCTGGGTGTGGGCCTACTGAACTGAATAAAATAATAGTTTTGTCTGACGAGTCTGGGTTTTTGTTTTTGTTAACTAGGAAAAAATTTGATGTTCCTTGTGTTAAGGGATGGCACAGGATTTCTGCAGTGTGTCCTGTCAGATGAACTGGTGAGTTGCGGGGTTTTATTTCTGCAATGCAAAAGAGAAGCTATTAATACCCAGTGTTGTTTCCTTTATATGCCCCACTTGAAAGTTTGACTTAATGATATTAAGGTTTAATTCATTAAACTTTTATGAAAAGTTTAAGGGGGGGGGTCTCTTTTTCTCACTCATACCACCGGAGTTTTTCTTGTTCACAGAATGAGTTAACGAGGAGATTATGAACCTTCTTTCTTTGTCTCTGGACCCTTGTAGAGTTTGTATTCTAGCTGTACATTTAAAATATCTTTGTCTCTTTTTCTATAGTGTCAGTGTTACAATGGAGTGATCCTCTCTACGGAGAGCAGCGTGGCAGTGTATGGTACACTAAACCTTGTTCCTGAAGGCAAGCAGGTGAGGGAGTTAGTTGCGGCTGTGAGTTTGGGGTTCCCCCCCACCCACCTATCACTCAGTCAGATGGCAAAATATGGCCCTTTTGGGGAGCGGCAGGGAAAGTGGAGGGAACAGAGGGAAAGAACTCCGTAATTGATTTCAGTGGGGATTGCTGCTCAAAAATTGATGGCATGATATGGTTGAGTGTGTGTGCGCGCGCGTGCGCATGGGTTTGTGCTTGTGTTCGTTAGTTCTAACTGGGTAATATTTCTAGTTTATCTTTTAGCTGAAGTTGCATTTCCTTAGGGTACTAGTATGGAAGAGTATTGTCTTTTAAATATAGACACGGCTTTAGTTTTCCTAAAAAGTGAGATGAATATTTTTTTTAAATAACTGTTTTAGTGGTAATGTGGTGATTCTCAACTCTCCTTTTTAGCTGAGATTTGTGCTTGTAGGCTCCCCTCTATGCAGGATAACCTGTGGGAGCATAGAGACCTTAATTTGGCCTTTTTTTTAATTTGAGAAGGACACACAGCCTGAAAACTGGCCTTTAACGCTGTTTGTGTTCTTTAATGATGATTTCAGCATCATTTATAACTGCTGGAAATGTATAAAAATACAATAAGGTTGTAGACCAAAAACCAAATAGTGTTTATATTTTGCTGCCTTGTAATTGGTCATGTAAATTTCAGATTATTAATACTTATGAAGTCTTTCACATCTGGAGCTAGGGTCAGTTCTACAATAAGTAGCTTCATAAAGGATGCCCATAAAAAGAGTTCAAACTGTAGGTAGGGCTGGAGAATTTTCCAGGAGTTCATATGGGGAGAGAGACTGGATGAGGATGGTCCAAAGTTTCAGGATATCCTTTAAAATATAGTAATGTATAGTAAATATAATTCCCAAAAAACTAATAGTAGGACATTTGTTTTCTAATATCTTCTCAGTTGCTCTTTGTCGAATTAATTCAGTTATAAAATCTCTTCTGCAGAATAAATATAAATCCATATTGTAAAACCGATGCTTGAATATAGTTTCTTGATGTTTGTTGGATTTTCCTGGGGGGGAAAAATTCAGAGAATGAACAACAAAAGAGAAGCTATTCTGATAGTGCTCTAAATAGCTTCTAAAGAGCCAATTTTGAAGAAGATTAGGCTGTTCAACTAGCCACTGATGGTAGGACAGAATGGGACAAATTCTGCCAAATTTACACTCCCAGTACCCCCATTGATATTCTGTATACTGGGTTCTGCCCAGTATCTGATTTACTGAGTTCCCATTAACTATGGCACAATCTGCGGTGAGACTTTGTTATGTTGTAGGCCCTTCCTGAACAATAGTTAAGTGTGAGTTTTGTTAGAAAGGTGTTAATTTATTCAGAAATTTCATCATGCAGTGAAAATGTATTTACTTCTACACAGACACTTGTGTACGTTTTATTGAGTCTAGAAAGTTTGAAAAAGGGGGGGGAAAATAGTCCAGATTGTGACTTGTTTGGCCCTATCTACTCTCTTTCACAGAGTTTAGGAGCCATGTTTGAATACAGTTCAGCAAACTTGTTTCCAAAAAGCACTTGCCAGCCAGTGTATGAACAGGTCCCAACAGTGTTAGAGTTGTGTTTTAAAAAACCAGGGCTACAACATGCTATCTGGCAGTATCCACACTGGTGGGCAAAACAGAGCTAGAAACCTATTAGCTGGAACCGTGTGTTTAAAGCAGGTTGTAATCCTCCCTATCACTCTGAGGAGACTGACTGCATCCATAAGAGAACTTGTCTAAAGAACCCAGCCCCAATTGTATTGGAGCTTATAGCAGCTAGTATCAAGTTAAAATGATATTATCAGGTCAGAAATAACTTATTTTAAAAGCACAGTAATATCCTTCCCTTTGTTAGTAATAATACCTGAGGATATTAAACTCTAACTTCTAACTATTTTGTGCTTTTTGTTTACTATTTATATTCATTAGCTCATTATTACATTATTGTCTCTCTCATTTCGGACAGCGAAAGCCAGATAGAATCAGAAAATGAAACTTTTGCCTTAGCAAATGGTATAATGTTTGGGATTATGACACTACAGCATACGCTACTTGAACTCCAAAATGGACAATTTGTTGTTTCCTTGTTCAGCAGTTAGCTAAAATTAATAAGAGGAGGGTTTTCTGCTTTCATATTGGGGTGAAATTCAGCGCAATGCAGAAAACTCAGAAAAGCCCCCACGTCCCATGCAAGCCCTGGGATGAAATTCCTACATAGTCTATATAGGGTGATCCTTCCACCATCATATGAGCAACTCCCATTGACTTTAGTGAGAGTTACATGTATCCTTCAGCAGGAGGAGATGGGACAAAAATATACAAAGGTCAGAATGCTTTAGATTCCTATCAAGGGTTATCTTGTACAAATGTGTGTATTTTTATGGGAGTGGGGAGAGAAGGAGGGATTTTTCACTGTTTTCACAAGAGTAGCAGTCATTTGGAAACATTGACAAGCTGCCTCAGACCATGCAAGTTCTGAAGATGAAAATCTTTCACACTGAGTAACTTTTTATTAATCAGAAGTAGCACATAATACCACTGTAGTTAAATCGGTGGATCCCAACCCAGTCTTGGGTTGCAAATCATTCGTCTAAAGGTGGCATTGTTGAATTACAAAAAATGGCATTTTAAAAGCATTGCCTTTCTCAATAGGACTTGAACATCTAGGGCTAAAACAGAGTTATTAGCAACAGAGTTAAGTTAGAATATCAAGTTACCATTTTTAGGTGACAGTACCAAACTTCTAATGTGTATGTTGTTTCTTCTAAAACCCATAGGCTCCAGGGGGCCATGAGTTGAGTTGTGACTATTGGGAGCTGATTGGTCTGGCTCCAGCTGGAGGGGCTGATAACCTGATCAATGAGGAATCGGATGTTGATGTGCAGCTTAACAACAGGTATATGATGATCCGAGGAGAGAACATGTCCAAAATCCTCAAGGTGCGCTCCATGGTCATACAGTGCTTCAGGGATCACTTTTTTGACAATGGATATTATGAAGTAAGTATAGCTTTCTTTCCTTCTACAGAGCCTCAGTGACGCTTCTAGATATACTGTATAGACTTTGATATTGAATTGAATTACAGAAAAATTACTTGTCAATTAGGAGACCACTTTTTGACTGTTTTTATAGACGGAATTCTTATCTTAATAATGAGATTTTGTTTAACAGATCACTCCACCGACACTAGTCCAAACGCAGGTTGAAGGAGGCTCCACGCTATTCAAACTGGATTATTTTGGCGAAGAGGCATACTTGACACAGTCCTCCCAGCTGTACCTGGAGACCTGCATCCCTGCGTTAGGAGACACGTTTTGTATCGCCCAGTCATACAGAGCTGAGCAGTCCAGGACGCGCAGACACCTGTCAGAGTATGGGAATCATTGTAGTATAAGTATGCATGTGTTTAGAGGGCAAGGGAACAGCAGTCAGTCAGGAACAATAGGACTCTACAAAAAGGAAGGTAGAGCGTTATGCTAATATGCAAGGGGCTGACCAAAGCTTCTTTGGAAATATCCTGCTCCCAAGGTCAGTGGGTGGGAGGCAGAGCATTAGAGGAGACATTGACTCCTCTTCTCTAATTTGTCCAGGTGGAGAATGACTTTTATTGAGCTTCTATTGTTGGAATGTGCTGTGGATGCCATTGTGTAACTTGTGAAGGGAATAAAGTTATAAGTAGGGCTGTCAAGCGATTAAACAAATTAATTAATTGCGCTGTTAAACAATAATAGAATATCATTTATTTAAATATTTTTGGATGTTTTCTACATTTTCAAATATATCAATTTCAATTACAACACAGAATACAAAGTGTACAGTGCTCAGTTTATATTTATTTTTGATTACAAATATTTGCACTGTAAAAAACAAGAGAGAGTATTTTTCAATTTCCCCGTTGCAAGTACTGTAGTTGCGGATTGGTCCTGCTTTGAGCAGGGGGTTGGACTAGATGACCTCCTGAGGTCCCTTCCAACCCTGATATTCTATTATTCTATGAATCTCTTTATCATGAAAGTTGAATTTACAAATGTAGGATTATGTAAAAAAACAAAAACCCTGCATTCAAAAACAAAACAATGTAAAATTTTAGAGCCTAGAAGTCTACTCAGTCCTACTTCTTGTTCAGCCAATCACTTGACAAACAAGTTTGTTTACATTTGCAGGAGATAATGCTGCCTGCTTCGTGTTTACAATGTCACCTGAAAGTAAGAACAGGCGTTAACATGGCAGTGTTGTAGCCAGCGTCACAAGATATTTATGTGCCAAATGGCCTAAAGATTTATATGTCCCTTCATGCTTCAGCCACCATTCCAGAGGACGTGCGTCCATGTCGATGACGGGTTCTGCTCGATAACAAGCCAAAGCAGTGCAGACCAGTATATGTTCATTTTCATCATCTGATCAGATGCCACCAGCAGAAGGTTGATTTTTCTTTTTTGGTGGTTCGGGTTCTGTAGTTTCCACATCAGAGAGTTGCTCTTTTAAGACTTCTGAAAGCATGCGCCACACCTCATCCCTCTCAGATTTTGGAAGGCACTTCAGATTCTTAAACCTTGGATCGAGTGCTGTAGCTATCTTTAGAAATCTCACATTGGTACCTTCTTTGCGTTTTGTCAAATCTGCAGTGAAAATGTTCTTAAAATGAACATGTGCTGGGTCATCATCTGAGACTTCTATAACATGAAATAAATGGCAGAATGCGGGTAAAACAGAACAGGAGACATACAATTCTCCCCAAAGGAGTTCAGTCATAAATTTAATTAACACTGCACCCCAAATCCCTCATCTCCAGCTCCACCCCAGAGCCTGCACCCCCCCCCCCAACCCTCTGCCGCAGGCCTGAGTACCTCACGCCCAGCCCCCCACACCCAACGCTCTGCTCCAGCCCTGAGCTCCCTCCCACACGCCGAACCTCTCAGCCCCGCCCTGCCACATGAATTTTATTTGTTATGTACACATCACCTCCATATTGGTGCACATAACAAAATTCATTCTGCACATGGATGGGAAAAACTACAGGGAACACTGTTGGCATGTAAATACTTTGCAATGCCAGCTACAAAAGTGCCATGCGAATGCCTATTCTCACTTTCTGGTGACGTAAATAAGAAGCGGGTAGCGTTATGTCTCGTAAATGTGAACAAACTTGTTTCTTTGCGATTGGCTGAACAAGAAGTAGGACTGAGTGGATTTGTAGGCTCTAAAGTTTTACATTGTTTTGTTTTTGAGTGCAGTTACCTAACAAAAAACCCTACATTTGTAAGATGCACTTTCACGATAGAGATTGCATTACAGTACTTTGTATGAGGTGAATTGAAAAATGCTATTTCTTTTATCATTTTTAGAGTGCAAATATTTGTAATAAAAAATAAATACAAACTGAGCACTGTACAGTTTCTGTATTCTGCGTTGTAATGAAATCAATATACACCTCTACCTCAATATAACGCTGTTCTCGGGAGCCAAAAAATCTTACCGCGTTATAGGTGAAACCGCGTTATATCGAACTTGCTTTGATCCGAGTGCGCAGCCCCGCCCCCCCGGAGCACTGCTTTGCCGCGTTATATCCGAATTCGTGTTATATCAGGTCGCGTTATATTGGGGTAGAGGTGTATTTGAAAATGTAGAAAAACATCCAAAATATTTAATAAATGTCAATTGGTATTCTATTGCTTATCAGTGCGATTAAAAAAAAAATGAATTGCGATAAATCAAGTTTTAATCGTGATTAATTTTTTTGAGTTAATCGTGCGAGTTAACTGCGATTAATCGACAACCCTAGTTATAGGCTAAGGAGGGAGGGAGGGAGGGGGCAAAATGGCAATTGGGATGAAATCCTCCCCTCTCATAGGGAGATTGTCTTCATTACTCAAGTCCTCTTGCTTGTGCATGGCTGATGAAAGGAGGGGAAGTGTCTTCATTCTGATGACTAATGGTGATGTGACCTTGTTCTTCAGATATACTCACATTGAAGCTGAATGTCCTTTCATGACCTTTGAAGACTTGTTGACCCGTCTGGAGAATTTGGTGTGTGATGTAGTGGACAGAGTCTTGAAATCGTCTGTATCAACCTTCCTATATGACCTAAACCCGGTATGTGGTGGTGTGGCAAGCAGTCCTGAATATTCACCTCTGTTTGGCAAGAAATATGACGTAATGTCCCTCAGAACCTCAGCCTAGCCTCCTTTTGGCAGCATATTCACACGGGGCGAACAGAGCACAGCAATGAGCTCCAATCATTTGTAAGACACTCAATGACATCAAAAGGAGTCCAGCCTCTGCAAGGCTGATACCTATATCATACACGGATAGGGCTGGTGGTTTATATCTTAAAGTCTCGGGACAAGCTGCTGCTGTTTGAATTCCAGAAGTGCTTAGGGAGCCCCATTCATGGATCATGTAGCCTTTTATTTTGCTTAGAGTGAATTTGATGATGTTTTACACCAGCATGCATTCAGCTCTGGTTGCTACAGTTTCAAACTCACCAGAGTGAAATTGCATCTGGTGCTTTTCTCAAATTTGGAGACTCTAGGAACACACAAAGTTGAAGGACAATGACCACAGACACGATCACAAGTACAAAGTCTTATCTGTACTATGAGTTTTATTAAGCAGTAAGTTACAATTACCCATGCATATAGAAATCTGACAAAAACCTATGCAGTAATTATAACTGTAGTCACACTCACAGCCTCAAAGATATTCTAGGGTCGAATGGACGTCTCAATAGATGATCATCGCTAGAGGGATGGTTCTTGCTGGGGCTTCCTGTGGGCTCGTCCCTTGGGACTTCCCACTTTTACCCAACAATGGAACCCTCTTTTATAGAGTAATTCTTACCACACCTAATACCTTATACTTATGCATGAAGGTGTCAAACTCTCTTTTCCTTATCTGTACCTCCACACCCCATAAATATGTCCTGTTTTTCATAGGTTGTTCTTAGTTCCTCTTATTCTCATTAGCATCTATGCATGCCATGTACTCTGTGGTCAAGACAGTCATTGAAAGATGTTCCAGTCAGGTGTTTCGCGGTCTTGAACAATACATTGCGGTCTATTGCAATCCATTTTTTCATAATATCACCTATTGGCACATCTTATGAAGTAACCTTGTGACCTTGCTGGCACAGGGTTATTCCTATGTCACCCACTCATGTCAAGTGTTCTTAAGGCTGTGGCCTAGTATGGCTAAGCTAAAATCTTATAAGTCTCCGCCTGTAGACCTTGCCTTCCAGCCATGCTTTACTTATATACCTAATACACACTCATCACTCCTAAATATTTATCAATCCTATACTTCTATAATCCTACAATTTAAATCTATTTAGCATAAATTGATTATATATGAAATGGCATATAAATTGACCATAACATCACTTCATACAATGACAAATGGATGATAACTTGAACTAATTGGTTACAGCCAAAACCCCACTGTGCTAGGTACTGTACAAACAGAACAAAAAGCTTGTCTCTGCCCCAATCTAGGTATCTGACAAGAGACAAAAGTGGGATATAGACAGACAGGGAGACTGAGGAAACAGACAATATTGTGTGGTTTCTAAGCTGAGACAGTGCTCAGTAAAGCTGGTTCCTCCTCCTCATCCTGTCTGCAATGACCCACCTTACTTCACTGTCTCCTTAATTTCCCCCCAAAGCCAGCCAACAGCCTCCTACAGCCAGCCAGTCTCCTCTCAGTCACTAGCCAACTCCTTCATGTTGCACAGAGACCAGAGCGTCTCCAGTTTCCTTGGCTTGTTCTGATAAGCACTGCCTTCCTCCTACTTGTTTAGTCTCTGCTCAGGACCTGGGATTGGGGGAGATGAAATACAGCACAGGCCAGAGAGTGAGGTCTTTCCTTAAAGAGGTGAATGTAGCAAGTCTGAACTTGCTGCAAGTACCCAGCCCCGTGTCTCAGCAGATGGAAACTCTCTTGGCATAGTGTCCTGTAGTGCTATCTGCGGTACGCTGTGGAACTGGTGCTGATGTACCCAATGCATCCATGCACAGAGGGGGTCAATGGCCTGAGTGGTACCGTATTGTATCCTGGTTCCTGCAGAGAGCATTCTGTGGGTTTAGAAAGCTGAATGTGGAGAGGGATAGATGCTTTGTGTGCTCACAGTCACTCAGCACCCCAGACACCACCAGGTATTTACCTAAGGCTCCCATAGAGGCAACTGCATTGCATTAGTGCACACACCATGTAAGTAAGGTCCAAGAGCTGTAGAGGGAGCCTCATTGGCACAGCTCTTCTGGCTGGGAGGTGTAAGGGAGACCAGTGGAGGCTTGAATCAATTATTTTAAAAAAATACACAATTTGAAACAATCCACTCTATTAAATCAACAACAACAAAAGTAAGTTAGAAAAAGCAATTCCTCAATGGTTTGAGTTGTTACAAACAGTTAATGGAGAAATCATACATTTGCTATATATTAGCCCAGAATTAGTTTGTTGCCTCTCTCATTCAGACAATTTAAAGCATGGTTCTATTATCAAAGGATTCTTTGTCAAATTTGCTCTGTCTCTTAAGTTCTTTCTAAGCATCACAAACTCTTCCTGGGATCTGAAAGCCAAGCTGTATTCATTCTGGCTACAGCATCTTTTCTAGTTTGTTTCAGGGGAAGAATCTTTATAACTAATTTGTTAAAGCATGAGCTAGAAAAGCATCTGGCTTGTTCTTTCTAAGCCCTACTGGCTGTGCACTGCTAACAGGAAAGCTTGTGGTGTTCACCAAAGTGAGCAGATAGGACTGAAAACACAGGGAATAGATCTCCTGAGTAGGAACGTGCTTTTTTTTTATTTTTTTTTAAGCCTGGCTACTTTCCTAACTCTAACTGCACCGCTAAAAGGAATTGACCTTTCAAACAACACTAATGTTTTCGTGTGTGTCTAATCTTACATTGCAGAACTTCCAGCCCCCCAAACGACCTTTCAAACGAATGAACTATACAGATGCCATTACATGGCTAAGGGAACACGGTGTGAAGAAGGAAGATGGCACTTACTATGAATTCGGAGAAGTAAGACCCTTTTGCCCTCTATTTTTTTGATATCTTAAAAGAGGTTGGAGCTCAACTCTGAAAGTGTACCATACTTATGGTTTCTTTCCTAATTTTGTGACTGGATCATAATGCAATAAATGCAAACAGTGGTTTTATAAAGAACCTACTGACTATTTTTTGGGTATGGCCTGGTCTTCTAGCTGCCTAAAGGGTAATGTTGATCAGTGGGGCCAGGATTTCTTTAAATCAGTGTCTTTGTCCTCCTGAATACTGGGTTTCAGAACCTATTCTCTAGTTTGCAGACATGTGGAGGGAATATGGCTTTTAAGATGCTCTGAGCCTGAGGATCCATAGGGAAATCCACATGAATGGAAGAGGAAACCTAATGCAGACACATCCTCTCTGCATGGCATTCCCTCATGTGTTGTGCTAACATTTTCCTCCCCTTACTGTGTACTACACTCGAGGTAGCGCAGGATAAGTGGAAGGAACTGATGCCATTGGGTTTGGAAGGAAGCCTCCCTTGTGGGCAAAAAAAATTAAAATAAAATAAAAATGGCAAAAACACATAGTTTAAGATCAAAATTTGGATTAAAACTTTTGGTCAAAAATGTTTCAGAAAATTGAGAAATTTGAATAAAATATTTTGGTCAAAAAATTGTATTTAGGGTACACTGAGAAATTGTTTTTAAAATATAGGTTAAAAAATTTGGACAAATTGTATTTTGCTTAAAAAAAAAAAAAGTGGCCAGAGTTGTATTTCAGTCAAAAAACCAAGAAATTTGGATCAGGAAAATTTTATTATTTTGGCCCAAAAAGCTTTTGATTGAAAAGTAGAGAAATTTGGGTCAAAACTTTTGGTGAAAAGGTCCAACCTCCTTCTTCTCATTCTTTTTTAACCTCCAAACTGTGGGTCTCTCTCTCTCCCCCTCCCCCCCCCCCCCCCACCCCCCCCCTGGTTTTGGGGTCCTTTGCACCCTTCTCTGTGCACAGTAAAGGAGACAAAATTACACTTTTGTGACCTTGACATAGTCCAAATCCTCAGAGGGGCTGTGCCTCTGCAGCTCCTGGTGCAGTCAATGAAAGCCCAAGGTGCTCCATCCCTTTTCAGCACCTGGCCCTGAGTTTCTAGTGTCTGGTTTATCTTCCTAAGTTTTGCCACACAATGTGGCATTCTTTATTCATCGCAAATAAGACTGAAGCTGCCTCTGGTTTGAATTGTCATGTCTTTGGTGCTGTCAATGCCTGCCTTAACCCAGAATTGAGAGGGAAATCATGTTATATTTTAGATTTCTAATATAATTTCTACATGTATTTAAATCACAGGCAACAATGGAAGTGAACATTGACCAACACAAATGGTTGTTACAAGCAATGCTTCTTCAATTAATGACAAATGTATCTGTTGGAGTTAGACTTAGGCCTGGTCTACGCTACAGAGTTAGGTGAACATAAGGTAGCTTATGTTGACCTAATTATGTCAGTCTACACTACGGCCTTGCTCCCACTGATGTAAGAGCCCTACTACATGGACATAACAACTCTGCTTCCATGAGAGGCATAGGGCTTATGTCAGTTAGTTAGGGTGATGCAGTGCTGGAAATTGACAAGAAAGGCTGTTAGGCTTCCTGCTGTGAACCCTGTGCCTGGCACACAGCTTGGGCTGTCACCTCAGGACAATTGGGCTCCCGGCTCCCGGCCAGGCTACCCCTCTTAAGTTGGTGGAAGCACTGCTGGTGAGGATGTGCACCGCTGAAGGAGGGCAGTGTGGACGTGAAACACCCCAGCTGTAAGTCGACCTAACATAGGTTGACTTAAGTTTGTAGTGTAGATGTGCCCTTCGTTTCTTTACATCCTGCACCACCTATTGCAATCGAAGGCAGCCATTTAGAGAATGGTCATAAAAGGTGGAATTCCAGCCTGGATGAGTTGAAGCTGTGCTTTGATTTTGATGGAGTTGAGACCCCATGCTGGTGATGTTACATTTTTGTATAAAATAGATTAAATACTACAAAAAAGGGATATTTCATTGTAGTTGCATTTTATGTTAGATCATGTGAAACATATGTTACCATAGATTTGACTGTATGATACTTAATGATTATTAAATAGTTACTTATAGCATAGGCAGAAAATACTAGCAATCTAATGAGGGTATTAAACTGTGCCTGTTTTTTTATTAATAATTAAAATGCTAAATTTGAATTTAAAAAAAAAAAAACAAACAAACTTCTGGAGTGTGTATTGCTAGGTGTCCTTCAACATTCCTTAGTAACTTCAAAGTTAGGAGGGTTTTGATGCAGTGGTACATATAATTGGTCTTTAACTGGTCATTCAAGATATTCCTATATGCAATATATAGATTAAAGGAAGTGCTTAAACAGTTCTCAGCAGTGAGACCGAATGCCCATGGAATGTATAGCATACCTGGGTTTCAGGGCCAGATAAAACTAGCCTCTATGTAACAGTAACTGATCATCTGAAAGAACTCCACTCTCTTCTCAGCTTCCAGTCTGGGACTAGCTTAGTTTTCCTAGTGTCTTAGCTATTCCTAGCTGTTACCCTCTGATATGTAGTGAATATTCTGATGCAAAATAATTTTTTCTTGATTTAACGTCTCGGAGTTTGATTAAAATTGCTTCTCCTCCACCCCTGCTAAAAGCTTTCCTCATATCTCTGTCATTATACTGTGTGTTCTTTTTGCCTGACATCTATAGGAGAAAAGCCTAGTGCTGAACTCAAGCAGTGTGTCTGGCCATAAACGTTGTTAAAATCTTGTTTAACCTCAGGATATCCCAGAAGCTCCCGAGAGACAGATGACAGACACCATTAATGAACCAATCTTGCTGTGTCGATTTCCTGCAGAGATAAAATCCTTCTACATGCAGCGTTGTCCTGAGGATTCCCGGCTTACTGAATCTGTCAGTTTGTGTCACAGAGTATTCGTAGTTTCTTTCTGGGAGGGGGATGGGTGCTTGTGTGTGTGAATGCACAGAAAAATGTAATAAATGACTGGGTGGGAGAGTCAAGTGGGATAGCTTTCACTGAAATAATATTTTTGCATGTGTCTGTGCATGGCCTGTTTGCTTTAAAAAAAGAAATATTGAAGTAAATGTATACCTGCCCTGAAAAGAATAAATGTCAGCACTTTACTAGGGCTTTCGTTTAGTCTGATCACACACAAATGCTATATAAAGATAGTATTCAGTCTAATAGTGGGAGGAAAAGAACAGTCTTACCATTAACGCACAGGACCAGAAGTCAGGAGAGCTGGGTGCTATTCTTAGCTGTGCTACATTTTGTGTGTATGAGGAAAGATTAAAAAGACAGGGACTACTCAGCTTGGAAAAGAGTCTACTAAGGTGGGATATGATAGAGGTCTATAAAATCATGACTGGTGTGGAGAAAGTGAATAGGGGAGTGTTATTTATCCCTTCACATAACACGGGAACTAGGGGTCACCTCATGAAAATAATAGGCAGCAGGTTTAAAATAAAGAAAAGGAGGTGCTTCTTTACACAATACACAGTCATCCTCTGGAATGTGTTGCCATGGGATGTTGTGGCGGCCAAAAGCATAACTGGGTTAAGAAAAGAATTCGATAGCTTCATGGAGGATAGGTCCAACAATGGCTATTTGCCAAGATGGTCAGGGACGCAACCCCATGCTTCGGGTGTCCCTAAACCTCCAACTGTCAGAAGCTGGGACAGGATGACCGGGGATGGTCACTCAAAATTGCCGGGTTTTGTTCATTCCCTCTGAAGCATGTAGCACTGGCCACTGTCTGAGACAGGATAGTGCGCTAGATGGACAGACCCAGTAGGGCCATTCTTATGTACTTGGATAAGTCAATCAGCCTGTCTGCTCAAATTCCCCTCCTGTAAAATGGGGCTAACAGGACATGCCATCCTCCTTAGAGTGTGCCTTAGAAGTGCTACCATGCTAACCTTTTAAGCCTATGATTGGTTTTGGGTTGGCTTTTTTTTTTTCCCCTGTTGCAAGTAGCTTATATGTAATAGTTTGTGACTTCCTGTCTTGTCTGTTTTAGGTTGATGTATTGATGCCGAATGTTGGTGAGATTGTTGGAGGTTCAATGCGTATCTGGGACAGTGATGAGCTACTAGAGGGTTATAAGCGGGAAGGTATTGACTCCACACCTTACTACTGGTATACAGATCAGGTACGTGAATAGACTTTACTCCCTGCATGTCAAATACAGAGGATGTGGCTTTTTCAGATCATGCTAAAATGATAGTAAAAATTAATCTGGGCAGTTTATTTTAGAGAGATCAAGACGTCTCTATCTTTTGGCCACTTGACCCATTGCATCTTGCAATTGGTTGCTACCTGTGGCAAGGTCGTTTTTAGGCTATTGAAATTGCTTTTGCTTGCTGCGGTGCATACATCCTCTATTAGAGCTCCCTGCTTAGAGGCTCCAGTGCAGCCTGGAAATGGCTGGGCATGTGAGTGCAATTCCCTCGGAAAGTCTTCTGTCCCTGCTCTGCCTGTTTGAAAGGCAGTAGTTCCTCTTGGCAACTTCCAAGTATAAAATATTTTTGCTGTTAGTGGACAAAAGAGTAACTTAGTCTGTTGGAAAATTAACAGTCCATCAGCAGTGGTTGCAGGGGGAGGGGAATGGAGTGGAGAAGGACAAAAGAGGGAAAGAAAGGAGTGTAGTGTAAAGTCCTCTTTCCTTCCTGCTCCCTCTTTCCCACTCCTCTCTTTTCTGGATAATAAATCTCAGGAATCAGACAGACACACACTCATTCAGTGGGATGAGCCCATTTTAGTTTCCCCATTTATCATTCAGGATATGAGCCCCCGAGTGTGATATTTATCCCAGTGTAGATGAGTAACAGGCTGATGAGTTTTAAAAATATTTCCTCTTTGCATTTTGTTCCATAGCGTAAATATGGCACATGCCCTCATGGTGGGTACGGCTTGGGCTTAGAACGCTTCTTAACATGGATTCTGAACAGGCATCACATCCGTGACGTATGTCTGTACCCACGCTTCATCCAACGCTGCAAACCTTAACCACTTCCTCAGGAGAAATTCAACAGAAAATCAAAGCAACTTCTAAAATCCTACATGTGAGGGCGGGGGGGAACAGTGCACTATGTCATCCTACAGTCCGTCTAAAGGCAAGAGCTATTGCTCCTTGTTGCTTGAGCCATAAAGTAGTACAGTTTTACTAAAACAACTATCTAATGTAGCAGCTGAAAAGGTGAAATTTTGCTTATTTGGAAGGTAAAATCACTTTTAAAAATCTACAGAAAAATTGCTGTTTTGTCATTTTAAAAACACCATCTGGTTGGGGCATTGCAGCTTTTAGCTCATAGCAAAGTTTTCATATTAGATTGATATTTGAAACATGCAGTGTGTACAATACTTAACATGCAACATTTATTTCTCCTCTGACTTTAACATTTAATCTGTATGTATCTTAAAACATTGGGGCACTTGATTTTCTTTTAAAAGTAATTTGGTTTATGTTCTATCTGTGGTTTGGGGGTTGTTTTGGTTAAATTAAAAGGCAGATCATTTAAAGTTACAAATGCTGTTGTGTATTAATATGAGAGTGTTCAACAGAAGTTAATAAAGATGGAATCATGTAAACTGTTAAAAATACAATGTTAGAACATTTGGGCCTTCACTTACCCAAGCAAAACTCTCTCTGCAGTCAGAAAGAGTGTAGAATTGAGCACATCCTCCTAATACAAAAAGATCTGCTTTCTTTTGTCAGAGTTCATTAATTTGGAAATGATGGCTTCAGTTTTGCAAGGTGCAGAGCACCCTCTGCTGCTTTTGATGTCTGCCAGAGATCAGCAGGCTACACCTTGCAGAACTGGGCCCTTTAACAGGACCGGCCATTGTACAGCCTACATGCTGACATAGAGCGAGGTGGATGCGTTCTTAGAATGTTGTGTCTAGCTTCTCCTGTACACCTGCATGTTTGAGCTCCCTTCATCAGTTGGTCACTGTTGCTTGACACATAGGAAGAAAACTGAATTTTAAAGACACTGATACAATTTGGTAACTTTGAAACTGAAATAGTTTAATTTCAGCATTCTATGATTATTTGGATTAGTGTCCTTTTAAAGAGTATTTTAATCTAAGGAGCATATTTTCATAGGTCAGTAATGTCTTGTCTCCCAGATGGCTCTATACTGACTAAAGTTTGGGTAATGGGCTCAGTGTACTGTTTCTGCTTCTCCTCTGTGGGTTCCCTCAATGATTGTAATCAACTGTTACTTAATTATTAAGTGTTTTGAGCTGTCAGAATGCATTTTAGTCATAAATTAGATAAATCTTACTGGAACAAATAGTAGGTGGGTTATTTGAGACCTACTTGGATACTTGCCTTGGGACCTAGTCTGGACTTTTCATCTACACTGTATTTGTAAACTGTTAAACTTCACATTTCTGTAGCAAAACTTTGTTTTTCCTTTTAGCATTTTGCATGTTGCACACATAAATCAGTCCAATCTGCCAGTCAATAAATTTAGCATAACGTACAAAAATGTGTTCAGGGTAATAACTTTTGGACTGTCCCCTTTTTGTATTTGTCCTTTTGTTTTTCACTGGTATGTTACTTCCTTAACATACTCCACCCTGTCAAAGGACATGTCTACATGGGAAGATTCAGGAAAGTTTAACTGAATTAACTAAAGGTGTGAACTTAAAGCACATTAATTAAATGAAGTGCATTAAACCTCCTGCTCTCATTCAGAAGTAAAACGGCATTATTGCTTTAGCTTAATCTCCTTTGGGTATGGTTACATGGGGATAAAAAATTGGCAGCTGGCCCAGGTCAGCTGACTCGGGCTTACGGCCCACAAGCTCTGGGGCTGAAAAATGGCTGTGTAGCCGTTTGAGCTTGGGTTGGAGTCCGAGTTTTGGGATCCTCGACCCTCACAGGGGTCCCAGAGCTTGGGCTCCTGTCAAAATCTGAGCCCTGCGAGTCTGAGTCAGCTGACCTGGGACAACTGCGGCTGTGCTGCAGGGCCTTTATCCCCATGTAGATGGACCCTTTGAAGACGTTAAAGGCTAAAATGAACTAAGGTTACTTCCGAATGAGTGTCCACACAGGCATTTAATGTGCTTTAACTACTGTACTTTAAATTCATACATTTTAGTTATTTGCCTTAACTTTCCTAAGAGTCTCTGTGTAGACGTGCCCAAAGAGAAGTGGGGTACTGCATCATATTTTTATGTGGGAAATTTCCACATGGTGGATAATGTCAAGTGGCCAAGGCATCATCTGTGCTGGGTTTGTATTGGCAGGAGGGAGAGAAGAGTCCCTGATTGAGGCTTAGGTGCTCCAGGAATTGCAGACATCCCATGAAACTCCCACTGTTCCTGTTCAGGAGCCATGCTGCCATTGAAAGCCAACTGCATCGTTTGAGTAATGCCCCTTTTGAGGAGGGGGTTTAAAAGCTACCGATGAGTTAATGTTGCTCCAAGAAATGAGGATCGCTCAGGTAGCTGATTAGGATGAAGTTTTTTTTTTTCTTCTCCAAATCCTCCTTTGACCTCACTTCTTCCCCCTTATTATCCACTATTAACTTCCACTCCTTTGTGGCCTATTCCTTTCTTCTGGACCTACCGCAGCCTGTATGGAAAAATACCAGACCTTACAAGACTCGCTCACTATACAATAACTACCATTAGTTTTGTTTCCTTCATCTATTCTTTTTCCAGGTTCTTCCTGCATTTTTTTGTCTCCATGTTTGTCTGCTTGAGGTTACAAAACTCTTCAGAACAAGGTGGTTGGTATTTTAATCTGTGTAAAAGTCCAGGCAAAGTTGTAATGCTATATAAATATTTAACAATAATAGACTTGCCAGGGTTTTGAGGTGTTTTATGCTGAATTTATATATAATCCGATGCAGGGGACATAAAAGAAAAAAAATCCAACATTAGTTGTCTCGTTTTAATATACCATCAGTAGCAACCTCCTTTCAAAATCTCTGCGCTTGACATTCTAAATTATATAAAATTCAGATTATCTTTATATTAACTAAAAACTAGAAAAATATAATCCCATTCCCTGGAGGGCAAACTAGGCCCATCAGGGCTTTCAATCTGACCCACGGGATTACCAGCTCTGTGCGGCCCCGGGGGTGGGGTGGGAGGGGCAGAGGGCTCCATGAGCTGCCCTCGCCTGCAGGCACTGCCCCCCACAGCTCCCATTGGCCAGGAAGGGGAACCACAGCCAATGGGAGCTTTGGTGGTGGTACCCACAGGCGAGGGCAGCACATGGCAGCCCCACCTGCCCCACCCTACCCCACCCTCAGGAGCCACTGCTGGACATGCTGGCCACTTCTGGGAGCAGCACGGGGCCAGAGCAGTCAAGTCAGCAGTAAGGTAAGCAGCGCTGGGCCAGAGCCTGCACCCCAACCCCATGCCCTGAGCCCCCTGCATCCCATTCTGCACCATACCCCCTCCCACACCCCGTACCCCAACCCCCTACCCCAGCCCTACATTCATAGCCCTGCATACAATTTCCCCACCCAGATGTGGCCCTCGGGCCAAAACGTTTACCCACCCCTGGGCTAGGTACACCCAGAGCATACTGTTGCATCCCTCATCGTCTTGGCTAATAGTCATTGATGGACCTATCCTCCATGAATTTATGTAGTTCTTTTTTGAACCTTGTTATAGTTTTGGCCTTCACAACATTCGTGGCAATGAGTTCCACATGACTGTGAGTTGTGTAAAGGAACGCTTTTGTTTGTTTTAAACCTGCTTCCTGTTTATTTCATTGGGTTACCCCTGGTTCTTGTGTTATGTGAAGGAGTAAATAACACATCCTTATTCCCTTTCTTCACATGATTTGTGATTTTTATAAACCTCTATCCTAACCCCCCTTAGTTATCTCTTTTCCAAGCTGAAAAGTCCCAGTCTTGTTAATCTCGCCTCATCTGGAAGCTATTCTATACCCTTAATCATTTTTATTGCCCTTTTCTGTACCTTTTCCAATTCTAATATATTGTTTCTGAGATGGGGTGATTAGAATAGCGCACAGTATTCAAGGTGTGCGTGGAGCCTGGATATATGTAGTGGCATTGTGATATTTTCTCTTTTATACATCTTTCCTTCTTTGTCCAGCTTTCTAATGTTTAAAATCAGGACTGATGGACTAGCACCGTGGTTCTCAACCAGGGGTACACAGAGGTTTTACAGGGAGTACATCAACTCCTCTACATATTTGCCTAGTTTTACAACAGGCTACATAAAAAGCACTAGTGAAGTCAGTACAAACTAAAATTTCATAGAGACAGTGGGCTGTATACTGCTCTATATACCATACACTGAAATGTAAGTACAATATTTATATTCCAGTTGATTTGTTTTATAATGACATGGTGAAAATGAGAAAGTCAGCAATTTTTCAGTAATAGTGTGCTGTGACATTTTGTATTTTTGTCTGATTTTGTAAGCAAGTAGTTTTTAAGTGAGGTGTAACTTGGGGGTACACAAGACAAATCAGACTCCTGAAAGGGGTACAGTAGTCTGGAAAGGTTGAGAGCCCCTGTTCTAGCACAATCACATTAAATGCTCTTTATGTCAAGTGATGGAAGAGATCTTTAGGATTGTTCAGTCATTAAGAGCAAACATGGCCACAAGTGCTGGGATGTAAGTTTGGTAGAAATTTGTTTCCATGCCTTGAAGACAATTGCTTCTCCTTTTAATCTCTGTAGTTCTTACTGTCAGATAAACTCAGTGATGCTAACACGATGAGCTAAACTACTGTGCCAAGCATCTGAATGTATCATTAAACATGAGCTAAGAATCTAATTTATAATTTATGTGGGGGGAGGGAGGTCTGAACACAGCTATTTTGAAATCTGCAGACCAAGACTAAACTATATATAAAAGCACTCAAGAATGTAACAAACTCAGCACTGAGACACAATTTATAATGACATGGGTTTTTTTACAAGAGACCATAGCCTGGCTCCACATAGGCATTGCAACTAACTTTTAGGCAGCGAGCCACCCATTGGAATCTGCAAACCTTGGGTTAGGTACCTAGGCTCCCTGTACAATGAATGGGGAGACACACCTGAAAACGGGATCCACAAATGCCAGCACCCTGCCAACAGCAGATGCCAGTGAAAGGGGTGTGTCCTAAGCCCCCTCCCTCTCATGGAGTTAGGCACCTACGTCTGGGCTTCAAGGAGATGCCTACCTCTGCTTGCGATTAATAGCCAGGAACCCTCTCCCTGCATCAGGCACGTACGTTTTTCTTCCAAGAGCAGCAGTGGTGCATGCCAACTCGGCACAAGTGGACTCCCTTATAGCCTTTACCCAGCGGTTAGAGCACTCACCCCAGATATTCAATTCCCCCCTAGCCCTTGGACTATGGGACATTCTGATGTGCGTTTCTCTCAATCTCTACTGTTCAAGCGATTTGACTTGGTTTAAATACAGTAGACTCCGCTTATTAGCAACCCCTCAGCTGCCAGCAAAAAGTTGCTATTATCCCAGCAGTTACTAATAAGTAGGGCTGTCAAGTGATTAAAAAAATTAATCACTATTAATCACATGATTTTAAAAAAAATCGTGTGGTTAATTGTGCTGTTAAACAATAATAGAATACTATTTATTTAAATATTTTTGGATGTTTTCTACATTTTCAAATGTATCTATTTCAATTACAACACAGAACACAAAGTGTAGAGTGCTCACTTTATATTTATTTTTATTACAAATATTTGCACTGTAAAAAAACCAAAAGAAATAGTATTTTTCAATTCACCTAATACAAGTACTGTAGTGCAATCTCTTTATCCTGAAAGTGCAACTTACAAATGTAGAATTATGTACAAAAGATAACTGCATTCAAAAATAAAACACAATGTAAAAGTTTAGAGCATACAAGTCCACTCAGTCCTACTTCTTGTTCAGCTAATTGCTCAGACAAACAAGTTGGTTTACATTTGCAGGAGATAATGCTGCCCGCTTCTTGTTTACAATGTCACTTGAAAGTGAGAACAGGCGTTCGCATGGCACTTTTGTAGCTGGCATTGCAAGGTATTTACGTGCCAGACATGCTAAACATTCGTATACCCCTTCATGCTTCGGCCACCAATCCAGAGGACATGCTTCCATGCTGATGACACTCGTTAAAAAAATAAAGCATTAATTAAATTTCTGACTAAACTCCTTGGGGGAGAATTGTATGTTCCCTGCTCTGTTTTACCTGAATTCTACCATATATTTCATGTTATAGCAGTCTTGGATGATGACCCAGCACATGTTGTTCGTTTTAAGAACACTTTCACTGCAGATTTCACAAAACAAAGAGGGTACCAATGTGAGATTTCTAAAAATAGCTACAGCACTCGACCCAAAGTTAAAGAATCTGAAGGCCTTCCAAAATCTGAGAGGGACGAGGTGTGGAGTATGCTTTCAGAAATCTTAAAAGAGAAACTATAGAACCTGAACCACCAAAAAAATAAAATCAACCTTCTGCTGGTGGCATCTGACTCAGATGATGAAAATGAACATGCATTAGTCTGTACTGCTTTGGATCATTATCAAGCAGAACCGTCATCAGCATGGACGCATGTCCTCTGGAATGATGATTGAAGCATGAAGGGGTATATAAATTTTTAGTGCACCTGGCATGTAAATATCTTGCAACGCTGGCTACAACAGTGCCATGCGAATGCCTGTTCTCACTTTCAGATGAAGGCAACAGAGAGTCCTGTGGCACCTTTAAGACTAACAGATGTAGTGGAGCATAAGCTTTCGTGGGTGAATGCCCACTTCGTCGGATGCATGTAATGGAAATTTCCAGGGGCAGGTATAAATATGCTGGCAAGAATCAGTCTGGAGATAACGAGGTTAGTTCAATGAACTAACCTCGTTATCTCCAGACTGATTCTTGCCAGCATATTTATACCTGCCCGAACTAACCTCGTTATCTCCAGACTGATTCTTGCCAGCATATTTATACCTGCCCGAACTAACCTCGTTATCTCCAGACTGATTCTTGCCAGCATATTTATACCTGCCCGAACTAACCCCGTTATCTCCAGACTGATTCTTGCCAGCATATTTATACCTGCCCCTGGAAATTTCCATTACATGCATCCGATGAAGTGGGCATTCATTCACGAAAGCTTATGCTCCAATACATCTGTTAGTCTTAAAGGTGCCACAGGACTCTCTGTTGCTTTTTACAGATCCAGACTAACACAGCTACCCCTCTGTCACTTTCAGATGACATTTTAAACAAGAAGCAGGTAGCATTATCTCCTGCAAATGTAAACAAAGTTGTTTGTCTGAGCGATTGGCTAATCAAGAAGTAGGACTGAGTGGACTTGTATTCTCTAAAGTTTTACATTGTTTTGGTTTTGAGTGCAGTTATGTAACAAAGAAAATCTACATTTCTAAGTTGCACTTTCAGGATAAAGAGATTGCACTACAGTACTTGTATTAGGTGAATTGCAAAATACTATTTCTTTTGTTTGTCATTTTTATAGTGCAAATATTTGTAATAAAAATATAAAGTGAGCACTGTACACTGTATTCTGTATTGTAATTGAAATTAATATATATGAAAATGTAGAAAAACATCCAAAAATCTTTAATAAATGTCAATCAGTATTCTATGACAGTGCGATTAAAACTGTGATTAATTGTGATTAATTTTTTAAATCACAATTAATTTTTTTGCATTAATTGAGTGAGTTAACTGTGATTAATTGACAGCTGTACTAATAAGCCAAAGGCAAGTTTGTAGAGGCAGCAACCAGGGACAGAAGCACTGGGACATGCCTTCCCTGGCTGCAGCCCTGCAAATCAGCCTGCATGGAGGGCAGCAGATACTGGGGCTTTTCATGGGGAATGGGTACTGGGCCCACAGAGCTGC